GGCAGCTCCCCTGGCGGCCAGAAAAAGTTAAATAGCCTCTGTGTATATCTGTATATGTTTGTATGTCAAAAATTGGCATTGAATGTTTGCCATATATGTGTACACTGTAATCCGCCCTGAGTCCCCTGCGGGGTGAGAAGGGCAGAATATAAAAGCTGTAAATAAATAAATAAATAATAAGTAGAGTAAGTCAGTAAGTAAAGTACGGTATAGATGCACCCTCAGACAGACCATGGACATCTTTGCAAAACCATCTCAGGGTGCATCGACACTGTACAATTAATGTAGTTTGACACCACTTTAACTGCCACAGCTCAATGCTTATGTACTCCTAGGATTTGTAATTTGGTGAGACATGTGTACTCTTTGGCAGAGAAGGTTAAAGACTTTGTAAAGATGCAACTCCTGTGATTCCATGCTATTGAGCCATGGCACCTAAAGTGGTATCTATTACTCACTCACCCAGGACTTATACAAAACTATTGAAATCTTTGTGGTATGCAGACTTTGTTTAAAGGCTTGTGTACACACAAACAAACACACACCCCTGTCATAATGACAGGCATCTTGCAAGTTATTAAAAAGTTCCGTATTCCACCTGTCCTTTTTGGAGGACTTTTCTGGCAGCAAGCTGGCTTTTGAGAACTGATAACAGCCATCCATTGAGAGAAAGTGGCAGGAAAGCTGCTGAATAGAAAGGAATAGTATTGTAAAATCTGGGGGCATTTGAAGTATGTGTGTGTGGTAGGTCAGTGACGTCAAAACAGTGGTTTGGTTCAATTTGTGACTTGAGTCTTGTGGTCAGCTTTGTTTTCATTTTGCATGAGAAAGAATCCCTCGTTTCTTTTCCATGGCCCTACCCGGAATCTGCCACTGGTCCCCAGTTCCTGAACAAGTACGGAACGTGCAACTGGGATTTGTAAACTAGTTTTAAGGAATTTGTTTATTCAGCTCCGAGGCTTCCAGTTGATGCTGAGCGCCAGAAGAAAGTTGTGTCACAGCACTGGATCGGATTAAAGTAGGCATAAGGTTGAGAAACCACACACAAAGTCGGCACAGTGATGCAATCTATTAAATCTTTTCATGAGGGAGAAAGAAGGAAAACAGCACGTTTTACTACAGGGCCATTTATCCAGAAGGAATGGTGAAGCTCTAAAATATTTCATTCACTCATCATTCCTATTAGTTGAAGTTTTTTTTTCTGTTTCTCATCAGATTATCTGGCATTGGGAGCATAGAGACCACATTTTCTTCCACCCTAAATGTCAATTTGACCTTCTGCACAAAGTGTCCATAGGGAGAAGGATCACTTCTTGGAAAGTTACTTTCTGAACTGCACCCTGTATTATTTAGGCCCCTTCCACACAGCTGTATAAAATCCACATTGAACTGGATTATATGGACTCAGATAATCTAGTTCAAAGCAGATATTGTGGATTATGTGCCTTGATATTCTGCGTGGAAGGGCCCTTAGATAACATGTGACAATTGTAATGTTGAGTTTACCTGCTTTCATCCTTACCACCCTGCCAGGTGTGGTCCTGGTACTGTTGTTATGACTCTTATTTTTGTTTTATCTTCTCTAACCAGTCATATGAGTCCTCATTGGGGAGCTAGGGCAGGATAGACATAAAGTTTTATTATTATTATATTTAGAATCATAGAATCATAGAGTTGGAAGAGACCTCATGGGCCATCCAGTCCAACCCCCTGCCAAGAAGCAGGAATATTGCATTCAAATCACCCCTGACAGATGGCCATACAGCCTCTGTTTAAAAGCCTCAAAAGAAGGAGCCTCCACCACACTCCGGGGCAGAGAGTTCCACTGCTGAACAGCTCTCACAGTCAGGAAGTTCTTCCTAATGTTCAGATGGAATTTCCTTTCTTGTAGTTTGAAGCCATTGTTCTGTGTCCTAGTCTCCAGGGAAGCAGAAAACAAGCTTGCTCCCTCCTCCCTATGACTTCCTCTCCCATATTTATACATGGCTATCATGTCTCCTCTCAGCCTTCTCTTCTCTATTTCTATATGATTACTTTGTATATAGTGTTTACTATTATGCAAGTAGGGTACGATCCCCATATCCACAGGTAATATGTTCCCAAATTTACAATGAAACTAAGAAACCACATATATTAGCAAACTATTGAAATCAATGCTGGAAGTTCCTAGAGTCATTTGCTAGGTCCGCCAGGATGACTCGGTGGCAGTTTCCAGCAGAAGGATATCATAGAAATGCTGGGGAACCTAGACAATTTTAGGGAGAATCATAGAATCAAAGAGTTGGAAGAGACCTCATGGGCCATCCAGTCCAACCCCATTCTGCCAAGAAGCAGGAATACTGTATATACCTATTATAAGTCCTCTGGTCAGACCACATCTGGAATACTGTGTCCAATTCTGGGCACCACAATTGAAGGGAGATGTTGACAAGCTGGAATGTGTCCAGAGGAGGGTGACTAAAATTATCAAGGGTCTCTAGACCCTATGAGGAGCAGCTTAAAGAGTTGGGCATGTTTAGCCTGCAGAAGAGAATGCTGAGAGGAGACATGATAGCCATGTATAAATATGTGAGAGGAAGTCATAGGAAGGAGGGAGCAAGCTTGTTTTCTGCTGCCCTGGAGACTAGGATACAGAACAATGGCTTCAAACTACAGGAACGGAGATTCCACCTGAACATGAGGAAGAACTTCCTAATTCTGAGAGCTGTTCAGCAGAGGAACTCTCTGCCCCGGAGTGTGGTGGAGTCTCCTTCTTTGGAGGCTTTTAAACAGAGGCTGGATGGCCTCTGTCAGGGATGCTTAGAATGTGATTTTTCTGCTTCTTTGCAGGGGGTTGGACTGGATGGCCCATGAGGTCTCTTCCAACTCTATGATTCTATAAAATCCAGAGAAGTAACCGGCCTATATAGCAACTCCTCATATTACCTGCCTATATTCTAATCTTTAGCCATCTGTGATGAATTCATTGGTTCAAATGTGTCTTCCGTGGATATAAGAATGGGGGTAGATCAAGACCTGATTCATTCATGGTTGAGAGGAACATGCTTGCCATTTCTTGGTGGCTAGATCCAACAGTCTATCAGTAACATTTGGATGAAGAGATGAGCACATAGACAATCTTGAAGTAGCCACATTGATTGCATTGCCTGATAATGAACAGAGCCACACTGGAGTGGGCAGGACTGTTCCTCATGGTCATAATCAAGTGGGGTCCTGGTTGTCCCCAATCTCAGACCAGACCTACATTTACCAGCACATGCAATGTTGGTACCATTTCTGTTTTGACATGGACTCTCTCCATCTCACATGCCTCCCTCTTTCTAGTGCCATCAGTAGGAAAGTGTGGGAAGGGTGTGAACTGCAGTGGCTGACATTATCAGAGCGGGTGACACCCAAATGACGGCCTTTAAAAATTGTGTAGTGTTTCAGCAGAAATTTATTAATTTCTAGTTAAAAGCATCTAGGTAGATCTAACCACAGAAAATTTTCATAAGCTTAGCTAACATGTGTTATAGAAATATACCTTAAAGGCTAATGTTCTATACCAAACTTTTTAAGCAGAGGGCCAGGTCACAGTCCCTCAAACAGTTGGAGGGTCAGATTATAATTTGGGGGAAAAACCATGAATGAATTCCTATGCACACTGCACATATATTGTTTGTAGGGCAAAATAAAACCACTTAAAAACAATACAATAATTAAAATGAACAATTTTAACAAATATAAACTTATTAGCATTTCAATGGAAAGTGTGGGCCTGCTTTTGGCTGGTGGGATTGTTGTTGTTGTGTGCTTTCAAGTCATTTCAGACTTAGGTTGACCCTGAGCAAGGGCCGGGTAAATGACCTTAGAGGGCCGTATCCGGCCCACGGGCCTTAGTTTGAGGACCCCTGTTCTATACCATCTAATGCTCGTGTTCTAATAATAATAATAATAATAATAATAATAATCTTTATTTCTACCCCACCACCATCTCCCCGATGGGGACTCGGTGCGGCTTACATGGGGCCGTCGGAGCTGTCATTATTGTCCAATTGCAATGACAATTACGTAGTTTCATCTGCGTGTGTTACAAACATTCATTGTTGCTGGTTTATTTATAGTCACTATTCTTAATTGCATTTCCTTGTATTTTAATGACAAGACTGTGGTCTGATCTGGTACAGGAAGGGGTCCATGGAGGTGACACCATGAGATTTTGCACCAGGTGACACTAAACATAGGGTTCCTCCTTCCATCTCTCTTATTATAGCAATAGCAGATGAATCTTCTTTGGTGGTTTCCAGTGGGGATAGCCTATGGAAAAAAGAAGAGATCAGTGTTCATCAAGTTCAGTGGTTGTAGTCCAGGGACAACCAGTGGTCCGCAAGAACTAAAATGTGGTCCACTGCTCACCATTACTACACTGGTGCAATGAAAGCGACTGGTCTCACAAAACCCTATTAAATATGGTTTTTTGTGTGTGAGCAGATGGTGGCTACTCATGGCTTATGTTCTGTATCAGGAACTAGAACTGATGTGGTCTATCCAATGCAGTTTTCTAAATCAGCACCCCAAATAACCAAACCAAATCTAAAGTTGACCAAAAACTGATTTGTAATTCTTTTGATACTAATGTTGGAAAGTGGTCCCTGGTCAAAAAAGAATGTGGTCAAAGTGGTCCCTGGTCAAAAAAGGGTTGGGAACTACTGATCTAGTTGTAACAATACAACTGGAGAATGTATGGGGCCTGCAGATGTGGTCAAAATTTTTCCAATATTGTGAGTTCAGAGGAGTGATGTGCCTAAATAGCAACGGAAGGAGTACATGTTCCTTCAGCCTTGGATTGCCACCATGGGTTTCATACTACTCTGTCCACATACTGTTCCAGTCCTGAAAATGAGTTCCTCCATATTCTGTTGCTTCAAAAGTCAAGTTTGGAGTGGAATAGAAAAGATGAGGCTGTGCTTTCCGAAGTCCCTGACCATACCACCGTTTCTTTGTTTCTTTACATTTTAAAGATGTGGATGAATGCGCAACAGGCACCCACACCTGTAGGTCAGATCAGATATGTGTCAACTTAAGAGGATCATTCACTTGTCAGTGCTCGGCTGGCTATCAGAAGCGAGGCGATCAGTGCATTGGTAAGTACTGGATTTGGAAACAAAACACCCCTTGCAATGCTTTGAGCAGCAAATCATACTATTTTATTATATGCACTTATTTACATACAGCAATTTGGTTCTTCTCTTTCCTGAATTGTCCAAGCTAGCTTGCCCATATCAGAACAAAAGTATCATTCTAAGAACTGGAGGGTTCATACTCTCAGGTTTTCTCACCCCTTTTTCCTTTGATGTCGTGATGTTTTCCCTGATCTGCTAGATCAGGGTCCGCACAGATTTTCAACAGGATGAGAACAATTTTGACTCCAGTTTACTTAACAACAGTAGCTAGATAAAGATTCTCCCCTCACCATGAATTATACAACTGAAAAGAGTATACAGGCAGTCCTCAAGTTACAAACATCTGACTTTAAAATTACTTATATTTAAGAACAGGGGTGAGACAAAAGAAGTGAGAGAAAGCTATCTCTAGGAAGGGAAATTCACTCCTGGAAGAATTATCATGGAAAAGGGGTGTCTCAACTGAAGCTGTCTCACCAATTCTTGTTTCCACAACAAGTCAATTTTTTCAAAATCCAGTTATCACCGAGACAGAAAATGAGGTGGAATCTTCTGAACAGGGGCAGAGACAGCAAAACAAACTCCACAGGGGTGCCAACCCTTCCCTATGCTATTCACCAGGGGGTGCGAGCAGGTTAAACCACTGAGCTGCTGAACTCACTAACCGAAAAGTCAGCGGTTCGAATCCGGGGAGTGGGATGACCTTCCGTTGTTAGGCCCAGCTTCTGCCAACCTAGCAGTTCAAAAACATGCAAATGTGAGTAGATTACCTCTTCTATAAGAAGGTAATAGCGCTCCATGCAGTCATGCTGGCCACATGACCTTAGAGGTGACTATGGACAATGTCAGCTCTTTGGCTTAGAAATGGAGATGAGCACCAACCCCCAGAGTAGGACTTGACTAGACTTAATGTCAGGGGAAAACCTTTACCTATACCATATATCCATATAGTCAATAATTATAATATCTCTCCACAAATTGAGATGTGCTTGAGGAGGAAATGTTGTATAGGCTAAATATTCCTAAAAACCTTCATCTTTACTATGCTAGCCAAAGCGTGTGTGTGTATATGTATGTATGTATGTATGTGTATATATATGTATATATACATATATATGTATATATACACACACACACACATACATATACTTTATTTATATACCTCCTTTCTCAGCCTGCAGGCAACTCAAAGTGGTTTACAGTCTCTATCTATCTATCTATCTATCTATCTATCTATCTATCGAGATATATATATATATATATATATATATATATATATATATATATGGAGTTACACTTTAAAAATGTACATATTCCAACTTATATACAAATTCATCTTAAGAACAAACTTACAGAACCTATCTTGTTCATAACTTGGAGACTGCCTGTACTTGAAATATCGAGGGCTTGACATTAGCTTGGAAAGATTTTGATCTCTTTTAAGTTGCGATACAAACACCCACCCACTCTTGGAGACAACATTGTTTGATCCTAAGTGTATTTCTTTTGTACATGTTGAGCATCCCTTATCCAAATACCAAATTCCAAAATACTTCAAAATCCAGATAGTGGCAAGTGGCACCTTGACTTTCTGATGGTTCAATGTACACAAACATTTCTGCCTGCACAAAAGGATTAAACGTAGTGCATATAAAAGTACCTTCAGGCTAAGCATCTAAGGTGTATATGAAATACGAATGAACTTCATGTTCAGACTTGTGTCCCATCTCCAAGGTGCTGCATTATGTACATATATATATGTAAATATAGGCATTCCAGGCCTGAAATCCAAAACACTTTTGGTCCTAAGCATTAGACGAGAGATACTCAACCTGTGCCAGGCTATTTGTAGTGGATCTTGGAATCGTTACTGCCCTTCCTGCCTTAGTATTGTTCATGTAAATTGAAGACATTAATTTCAGTGCATTTTAATTTAATGGCATGCATATAATGTCTCCTAAAATATATATCTATCCCTATATCTTTTTTGATAACCCAGATGTAGATGAATGTACATTCTCGCCATTTTGTCACCACCGTTGTGTGAATGCTCCTGGTTCCTACTACTGCCAGTGCAACAGCGGTTATCAATTAGCACCTGACAATCACACATGCGCAGGTAAGGGCTTTTCAACAGCTGCCACGATTGTTTATGTAAATGGGGGGAAGGGGAAAGCAAGAACTAAATTAATGCCCTGCAGGGACTTACAACAGCCATGGACTACAATCTTCCATCCCCTAAGTGTAGTGGTATGTTATGCCAGCGCTATATAACCCCAATGCAGAACAGCAACATGGTACAACATGTCAGTGATTGTTTACCATTGTACAGTGTGGAACTGCAAAGTGCAATGTATAACTGCAATGCAGATTACAATACTTGATATTGTGTGTTAGTGTCTGGTTTTTTGTTGTTCCACCACTATCAGCATAATAATAATAATAATAATAATAATAATAATAATAATAATAATAATAATAATTGTGCCAATTAAATAATAAACACTGCAAAGGTAGCATAAAATGAACACGGAAAAATACTGTTGGACTTTCGAATCCAGACTGAAAGTTTTGGAACATAATACGCCAGACATCACAATTGTGGAAAAGAAAAAAGTTTGGATTATCGATGTTGCCATACCGGGTGACAGTCGCATTGAGGAAAAACAACAGGAAAAACTCAGCCGTTATCAGGACCTCAAAATTGAACTGCAAAGTCTCTGGCATAAACCAGTACAGGTGGTACCAGTGGTCAGCACCCTGGGTGCTGTGCCAAAAGATCTCAGACAGCATTTGGAAACAATAAACATTGACAAAATCACGATCTGTGAACTGCAAAAGGCCACCTTACATGGATCTGCGCACATCATTCGAAAATACATCAAAACGTCTTAGATGCTTGGGAAGTGTTTGACTTGTGATTTTGTGATACGAAATCCAGCACATAGATCTCATTTGATGTGGCATACTGTGTTTTTGTGTCAGTAAAATAATAATAATAATATCCATTATTTATATTCCGCTCTATCTCCCTGAGGAGACTCAGGGAGGATTACCAAACACAAATAAGGCAAACATTCAGTGCCGTTATACAATTAATAAGGACAGACAATACATAAACAGAGGTAAAGGCTTTCCCCATCTTTTTCCATTTCTGGCATCTGGAGTCTGTGTTCAACTCTGGCCAAGGGCAGATGTGTTGTCGCTCCATCTTCTATGCCCAGGAGCTTTGTTGTCCGTAGATGTCCTCCTGATTGAATCGCAGGCAAATGGGTACCTTTTATTTCCTCCCTGTAATAAAGCAGTACCTATTTATCTACTCACATTTCTGTTTTTGATCTGCAAAGTGAGCAGAAAGGCTGTGGGGAGGACACCAGGGCCACCGGTAGCCGTATTGTTTGTTGCCGGCGGATGGTGGGGGGGGGAGATCGAGATGTTGCCCAGGGGCAGGCCCGTAGCCAGGATTTCGTTTCGGGGGGGGCTGAATTTTTTTTCAGGGGGGGTTTCAGGGGGGCTGAGTTTCGGGGGGGGCTGAGTCTGAGTGAAAGAGGGTCTAGCCTAGCAAACCTTTTGTATCATTACCCCAATACCCCCATGGCATATGGGATATATTGAGTATGGTGATCAGATCATGATATGAATAAACATAACAGTTTAAATATTGCACCAGTAAGGCCTTTTCGCGAACCACCATGAATTTCGGGGGGGGTGGGGGGTGAAGCACCCCCCCCCCCCCCCCGGCTACATGCCTGGGCTCACGGGTACTCACCCCAACCCAGACTTGAACCACCAACCTTTTGATCAGCAGGATTTTCTGCAGCTTAGCGGTTTAACCCACTGTCCTAAGCCCGGCCCCAATTTTGTGACCAAGTTGAATAATTCATCCTGCATTGTATAGCATGACTTGCATGCACACGTGTATGCATGCAAGTCATGCTATACAATGCATGCACACATTGTATAGCATGACTTGCATGTTCAGATGACATCAAATGCAAAGGGCAGACTGTAAAGAACAAGGTCAAAATCCAAAACAATTAAAATCAGTGACAAAATTTAAAGAAGGAACAACAAAAAAGGGAACTATGGAGTAGTCCAGTCATTAAGCTCATTTGTAAGAGAAGGGCTGGATAAATAAATAACATTTGAGTGTGCGTGATGAATGCCTTCAAGTCATTGGACGTTTTTTAATACTCAAAAACTGCAGGGTGTACTTGAAGCATACGCAGATAAACTCAAGAAATGATTTGAAGCATCATTGTAACAGGGTAATAATGACAGCTCGGACCAGGAGATTCATGTGCATTCGAATGTTCGAAACATAAATCGGTGTAGAGTTCAGCCTTTATTAATACAGTGTATGTAAGCTGGACTAATGACAAATGTTTTTGTGGTTAAATGTAAGAACTGGGAAATTTTTAATTCTAAAAATAATAGATGTCTGCTAAAATACTGCACAAAAAATCGAGACAGTCGTATTAGTGTTGTTGAAGGCTTTCATGGCTGGAATCATGGGGTTGATTTGAGTTTTCTGGACTTTATGGCCATTTTCAAGAAGCATTCTCTCCTGATATTTCACCCACATCTATGACAGGCATCCTCAGAGGTTGTGAGGACCTCTGAAGATGCCTGCTATGGATGTGGGCAAAACATCAGGAGAGAATGCTTCTGGAACATGGCCACTCAGCCCAGAAAACTCACAGCAATCCAGTCATATTAGTAACTTCTTGTCTAATGGTTGTTGGGCGGGTGGGCTTATTAACGAAAGACCCTCCGCATAAACATATAGCAGAGTAACTTATTAGCAGCAGCATGACCCAACATCTGTAACCAAAAGTGATAAAAAGAACAAAAACACACAGACCAACGTTATAACTTCCTTAGGAGCCTTTTCTTTATAGCAAAATAATATGGTTTCACAATTTCCATATCACAAATATATACTTCCTTCTTTGCTTCCACACTGGGCTTCATTCTTATGTAGATCAACAGCTTCACTCTCACAGAGCCTCTTCTCACACTGAAGTTACACAGGAGCTTCACACAGTAGCTTTACACACAGCGGTCTTCACACTGGAGCTTCACACACAATGGCCCCAACTGGGGCTTCTCTCAAAGAAGCTTCTCACACCAGGCCTTCTCACACTGAGGCCTACTAACACTGAGGCCTTTCTCCCACTGAGGCCTTTTCACATTGAGGGGTCCCTCAGACTGATGCCTCTCTCACACTGAGGTGAACTAACACTGAGGCCTACTCATACTGAGGCTTACTAACACACTGAGGCCCTTCTTCCACAGAGACATTTCACAGACGGAGGGCTATTAAGCTACAGGCACACCTGCTTATGTTAAACTGAAGCTTTTGCTGAATCATTGTATCCATTTAACCCTTTCAGTGCTTGACTCACATTTTTTTAATTAAAAATGGCTAGTAATTTTTTAATATTTCTGACAATGGTGCCATCTGGTATGGTTCTCATCTTCTGAACCCACCAATGATATCACTGCTATAAAACATGGATGAGCAAATATGCAAAACTAATTCATCGCAATCAGTTTAGATCAATAGAGACAGCTTAAACCATCACAAGTGTGGCCCAGATCACACCTCTTTACTTTTCCATATACGTATCATATAAGTGAATTAATGAACTGTATATTTATTTATTAGTTTGCTTGTTTGTTTGTTTATGTATTTAAAACATTTATATTCCGCCCTTCTCACCTTGCAGGGGACTCAGGGCAGAGCACAACATATATACGGCAAACATTCAATGCCCGGACATAAAACCACAAACATTAAAATCACTTATGTTCACATTAAAAGTTGCTTAAAAACCATCTCAGGACACCATTTTGCCTCATTGCACTGCCCCAAAGGCTTGGTCCCACCGCCAGGTCTTCACCATCCTTCTGAAGGACAGGAGGGAGGGTCTGATCTAATATTGCTAGGAAGAGAGTTCCATAACCAGGGGGCAATCACTGAGAAGGCCATGTCTCTCGTGCCTGTGATGGAGGCAGGACCGAGAGCAGGGCCTCACCAGAAGATCTTCGTTTCCGCAGTGGTTCCTAAAGGGAGATGGTTCAGACGGGTAAACTGGGACGGGGCTGTTTAGGGCTTTATATTCCTTATTCTTCAGGGCTGGTTATCTTCTTTATAATTATTAATAGTACAATTATTGATTACAACCAGTAAGCATCACTACTGTATATTCATAGCTTAACATATAAATCAAATCCACAAATAATCAAATTCCCAAATGTGGAGGGCTGAGTTAATCTTGCAAATAAGGTCACTTATGTAAGCCTTGCATTCGCAATCACTGCTCATTTCCACGTTGCCTTCAGATATGCTCTTCAGATGGTTCCCCTCTCCCACCACCAATAAAACAAAATACTTTTGCACGAAATTAAGCTCCTCGTTTTGCAAGGCAGCAGTGCTCTTGAGTGTTGCCAAAATGACAAACAGCTCTCAAAGGTTTGTGTTGTAAATGTAGTGGAATTTTAAGAGAACTGATCTCCAAAGTAATAAATGCTTCCCAATAAATCGCAAAATACTGCCTGCGGAGAAGACTTATCAGTATGTTTTCTTTATGTCAAGTGCTGTCTTTGAGACCTGTCCCTCTTTCCCAATGAGGAAAACAATAGTTTGTGGACTTAGGGGAGAAAACGCAGGAATCTCGCATTTGGTGAAATATTTCTAAAACATTTGCTGAAGCTTTTCTGCCCTACTAGAAAGGACCTTTCCTATCAGGAAGGAAAAATAATTCTCAAGAGCATTCAAAGTGTATTTAATGGAAGAAGATACGTTTCCTGACCCACTTTCAAGGTCAGGAGGAGAAAGTCCCCTGCTTTCAGTGATTTCTTCAGCCTCGTTTCATGCCATCCATAGGGAAGGTGGTTGGCTTCATATATTCTCCGCTTACTTTGTTTATACACTCATATTTCCTTCTTAACCCACCCTGCCATTAATTGACAAAAGGAAATCAACAACATGAGACATCCAGATGCAACTTGGCCCCTGTTACTGAAAGCCATGCACGTTTAGGGACTCTACGGATGGACTTATAAACATTTCAAATAAAAACATGTATTATTTTTAATTATATTATCAGGTTGCAAATTCAGAACATGTACTTTTATGTAAAACTAGCTTGGGGACCCGGCGATGCCCGGGTTACTTGAGAAAGTTTGGTAATATCTCTGGATGTAGTGTGAACTAGAACTCCCACATGGGCAGCTCATCCCCCTCCCCCCAACCCCTCCAGTATGTTATGTTGGCCTGGGTTATTTGAAAAAGGCACTGTTTGTTTTGGGGTGTTAGGTAATATCAGTTTGATAATATGTAGCTCTGTTTCTTAGAAAAAAAGCCAGTCTTTCCTGTTGCTTTTTATGAATGTCCCATTTGAAAATGCATAAGGGTGTGGGTGAACTGTAGTCCCCAAACATTGACAGGGTTTGGAGGACATTGACAGGGTTTGGGCTACATGTTCATGGCTCTCAGTTGAGGGAGTGCCTTTGGAGGCTTCTCAGCACTTCAAACTATGTTTGTAGAGGCAGGAGGCTTTCTGTGTAAGTGGACACTTCCACCACATACATACACACATTTTCACTTTTATTATGTGTATAGATATCCCAATTGGACTTTTGGTGGGACTTTAGAAGAAGAGATGGCTCTGGAGAAGGGGAGCACAGGGGTGGGTGTAAATAAAAGAGGGAGAAATGTATAGTATATGTCTATATATAACTAATTTTTCTCAAATAAAAATGTATTAATCAAAGAAAAAAGAAAAAATCCCGATTGGCCTGATTGGGCTAATTTGGCATTAAAATCCATTTCACATACATTATTCCAGCTGACCCCATGTTAGATGAAACACATTTCACTTAAGTTCTCTGAAAGTTAAGCAGAGACCTATCTATTGCTAGACCATACCAGTCTTCTTGATGATCTTAATGTTTCAGTACAATATAGAATGGCAAGTCAACTTGTATGTAAATCCCATCAGTTCAGTGAGTCTGTTCTAGTTGGTATTAACAAATGGAATTAGGCCAAAGTAATATGTTAATCTCTCTCACACAAAGAGAGACGGGTGGATTATTTGCATGGTTAATTAATGTTAGTTGCTTCAAAGGAGCTAAATAGTCAGAGTAATTAGCCTAGCTACATAATTTAGAATTAATTCACACAAAAAACTTCTGAAGCTTTTTTGGTATGCTAAAAGAAAGGGAAATTCTTTTTGCCGGCAGCACAGATGCTTCCACAATGTCTATAAATCAGACAGCAAAAAAAATGCATTTTCACTTAAAAGCAATCTTGAGCTTTGTCATACCTCTGGCAGTTGTGACTACATTACATCAATTGCATAATGTAACATATTTCTGGAAGGGAAAAACAGAGCAACCACATCTCAAGATGACTGGCAGCATTTGATAAAGCTTGAGTAAAGGAAAGTTGTGATATAGAAAATGACTTTTAATCATTATCACAAGAAGACGTAACCTGATGCACTAGAAAAGGAATTACTGCTTGATATAGTAGACTGCAGAAGAGGAAAAAAGAGGACCACATTATAGTTGGGTAGACTCAAGACTTTCTGGCATACAGCCACTATTCAATGGCCATTGTGCAGTCATTGAAAGTGTATACATGCCAGAGGAGCACTTCCTTTATTGCTATTCTTTTCATTCATGCAATCGCATTAAACTATCAATCTGTGATTCCGCATTTGTACTTCCACATAATAATAATTAATAATAATAATAAGCACAAGCCAGTCAAGGTGGTCCCAGTGGTGATCAGCACACTGGGTGCAGTGCCTAAAGACCTTGACCTGCACTTAAACACAATCGGCGCTGACAAAATTACCATCTGCCAGCTGCAGAAGGCCACCTTACTGGGATCTGCATGCATTATTCGCCGATACATCACACAGTCCTAGACACTTGGGAAGTGTCCGACATATGATTCAATACAACAGCCAGCTGAGTGTCCGCTGTGGACGCATCTTGTTGTGTACTAATAATAATAATAATAATAATAATAATAATAATAATAATAGTTACGGAAAATGAACACATCAAATTACTCTGGACTTCTGAATACAGACTGGCAAGAGTTTTGGAGCACAATACTCCTGATCTCACAATAATTGGGGGGAAAGAATAGTCAGTGTTGCAATCCCAGGTGACAGCAGAATTGATGAAAAGCAACTGTAAAAGGTGACACGATATAGGATTTAAAGATAGATTTGCAAAGACTCTGGCACAAGCCAGTAAAGGTGATCCCACTGGTGATTGGCACACTGGGTGCAATGCCTAAAGACCTTGGCCTGCACTTAAAAACAATTGGCGCTGACAAAAGTACCACCTGTAAGCTGCAAAAGGCCACCCTACTCAGATCTGCACGCATTATTTGCTGATACATCACACAGACCTAGACACTTGGGAAGTGTCCGATGTGTGATCAAATACAATAGCCAACATTGTGATCTTGTTTGCTGTGTACTATCTCCCCAAGGAGAGCTGGAGATAGGGAAGGCTGAGCGAAGGAAGATAGATGCTTTTGAACTGTGTTGTTGGAGGAAAGTTCTGAGAGTGCCTTGGACTGCCAGAAGATCCAACCGATCCATACTTCAGGAAATAAAGCCCGACTGCTCATTGGAGGGAAGGATACTAGAGGCCAAGATGAAGTACTTTGGCCACATCATGAGAAGAAAGGAAAGCTTAGAGAAGACAATGCCCTTTCTGGCTTCTGGAAAACGGGCAAAATAAATGTAAAACAAACCCAGACATGAGTGAGATTTCTGTTCTGTTTCTATTTTCACATCCTTCTGGGAAAGGACAGGAGCAAAACATTCGTCCCGGACTCTGTAACAGTTTCCCCCTTGATTTAAGGAACAGGAGGCTGTGCAGAGATTATGGGGAACTGTGTTATCATTTGCTAGCAATGTAAGTTTTGACTAGTTATAAAATAAAAGGTGTACCAGAGCCATGTGGTGGACATATGTAAATAAATACCACATAACAGATGTTCTGGGTGTGTGCGCTTTTTTCAAAAAGTGTTGTTTCTTTTCTCAGACGTCAACGAATGTGAGACCAGCAACCCTTGTGCCCAACTGTGCTATAATGTAGTTGGGTCCTTCCTGTGCCAATGCAACCAAGGCTTTGAGTTAAGCGCCGACAGAGTCAACTGTGATGGTGAGTAACTCATATTTAACTTCATGGACAGTTCCTAAAATATTGGAATGGGAAATAAACTTCTAATTCTTCTGATAAGCAGAATTAGGAGCAAGAAACACCAATGACTTTAGATTCTCTTCCTTTACCCTGGAACATGTAATTTTCATTGCGGTGCTTTTATCCGCAGATATTCTGTTGCTATTTTTTCTTGTAATATAGCAAGTGTATTCATTCTGCTATTAAATCCAACCAGAGCAAAGCATTTTGGAATTACATTGTTTTTAAAATGGTAGAAATTTGTTAAATGCAGTGCACTCTAAATGAATTGAACGTCACTTCAGCCAATTTTATTTATTTATTTACTTTCCCTGTTTATACCCGAAGGGGACTCAAGGCAGCTTTACATATAGGCAACTATTCAATGCCTTAAAACAACATACAATTAAAATAAACATTTAAATTAAGATTTAATAATTAATGCATATTAAAGCATTTTAAATTATGGGAATTGGATACTTTACATAGCCGCTTTCCAGATTTATGCCCTGATATATCCAGTCCCAGCAATAGCATTACCACGGATGGTGTAATGGGTTAAACCCTTATGCTACTGAACTGCTGACCTGAAGTTTGGCAGTTCAAATCTGTGGGATGGGGTGAGCTTCCGCTGTTAGACCCAGCTTCTGCCAACCTAGCAATTAAGAACATGCAATAGGTATCGCCTCAACGGGAAAGGCAAAAATGTAATCATGCTGGCCTCATGACCAGGAGGTGTCTATGGACAACACAGGCTCCGCGGCATAGAAATGGAAATGAGCACCTCCCCCAGAGCCAGAGATGAGTGCCGCCTCCAAAGCCGGAAAGGAAAGGAGAAGCCTTTGCCTTTGTCTGTGTATTTGTGTGCCATTGTATTTCATTGTAACAAGGCACTGAATGTTTGCCTGTGTCCATTTATATTCTGTAATCCACTCTGAGAGAAGGGTGGAATATAAACAAAAGTGTTGTTGTTGTTGTTGTTGTTGTTGTTATATATCCAATCCCACCAATTGTATTACCTTTCCGTGTTGATGGGACTGCATGCATCTGTAAGGCAGCAGTGCTTCTGGTAGAAAGGGAATCCTCAGTGCCTGACAGATGGAATCGTTCAACAATAGAATACACTTAACAACTAAAACTTTATAGATATAATTGTATAACCAAATACCTTATGTGTCTCAAAAAATAAATTGCAACTAGAAGCAGTGACAGTCTTTTTGCATCAGTTCGTTAAGCCTACAGTAACCCTCTTTATCTGTGGGAATACAGAATAGTTATGGGTGAATAAATCATCATAGTAGAATTCATGAGTACAGACTAGTTATGGATAGGTACTAGGTAACTCTTACTTATTCTAAGTAACTCTTCCATATTTACCAGGTCTGCACCAGAGTATAGATGGACAAATTGTGAGCCTCGCCCACCATAAAATAAGAATTGTAACCCTGTTGAATTTACCTCCAGCACACATATTTCTAATATTTCAGTAACTCAGTTAAGGGTATAGAACAGGTTCTCACAAACATTGATCTGGGTGTTTGGAGCTTCGGCTTCCAGAATCCCTAATCATTGGCCAAGGCAGCTGAAGCTTCTGTGAGATATAGTCCAAAAACACTGGGATGACTAAAGTTTGGAAATCACTGATTTAACAACATAGTTTAGGCATCCAAAGCAAGGGAGAAGATAAAATGGCCAAGGGAATGCGAACACAGCAAATAGAAGAGTTCTAGAATTTTCAATGTCTGTTCTGCAGTGCTAGAACTTTTGGGACTGAAAGGAAAATTTATTTGGGGAGGGGAGAATTTCTCTTAAGCAATCCTATTTCCATCTATACCTTTGGATGTTTTTCAAATTGTGCGACTCTTTTTCAGATATCGATGAATGCAGAGCTTCCAACTTCATGTGCCAGTATGAGTGCGTCAATGAACCAGGGAGGTTCTCTTGCCTGTGCCCAGATGGGTACCAGTTAGTCAGAGGAAGAAATTGTCAAGGTAAGTATCCTTCTGGTAAGGCATGTGTTCCTGCAGTCTTAAAACTAGCAGTAAAATTCAAATAAAGCATCTAACTTTGCACACTAAGCATCCTATTTGTCACAGTTCCAAAGTCTGTATCGAAGTACTATTTATTTGATTCTAATATGCACTTTTCACCCATATATACATCTGTAAAAACAGGGAGCATCTTAAAATTGCAGGTGCTTCTTTATATAAAAATAAAGCTTTATTAAATTCGTGGTACTGAAATTAGTGTATATCTTACAATTGATGGCATCTTAGAGTCAAAGGAAATATGGCTTCAGCTTTCTCTTCCTGGCAAAAAAGAAACCAGAAGAAGAGAGATATTTATGCCATTGGAGCAGTGATTCCCAACTTTTTTTGACCAGGGACCACTCTCCAACATTAGTACCAAAAGGGTTACAAATCAGTTTATAAGAGTGTGCCATCACGCCTGGGGGCTATAGATCTTAGTGAAAGAAACATGGACATGGCATCTTTTCTCCTGGGGATTGCTTCTTGCCCTCCTTTAGAGAACTGGAACTCTCAAGGATCAAGACACTATAGATAACTGGAAATAGGCTTTCTTGTTCACAATGAGTTAACTTCCTTAGGCATAAACTTGATGTTCAAAAGGGGTAAAAAATATATACATTACAGTCTCTGGAGTCTTGGGTCCAAGGAGTTTTCCAGCTGAGAAGCTTTCCAAGTTCCCTCTTTCTCAATGGCTGTGAAAGCCTGACATTCACAACCCCAGTCCAATGACCTATATTGAAGGCCCCAAGGTCTTCCTCTCGATTCCAAAGGACTGGTTTGAAGGCGCTTAAGATTCCTCAACAGCGTCCAGGATGAACTGGGCATGAAGCAATTCAACCGGTGCAAAACAACATTGATAGAAAGCAGTAGATAGCCAAACAATTTAACTGTACATTCACATACAAGTGGGGCCAGACGCGCCGTCACAAAGAGGGTTTTGCAAGACCAGTCACTCTCATTGCAACAGTGTAGTAATGGTGAGGCCGCAGACCATATTTTAGTTCTTGCGGACCACTGGTAGTCCACGAACCACAGGTTGGGAACCACTGCATTGGAGCCGTGGAGTTTGCAGGGTTGAAATCTTATGGTTAAATGCAGGAGAAAGTTTCAGAAATTGAAATTACAGCAAAGACTTGGAAAGCTTAGAGTGAATTGCTCCCTTCTTAGCAACGGTTTGGGAGTGTCCCCAAAACCTGAACTAGGACAGCATTCTCCCTATCATCCTTACTGAAGTACAATTAAATGGCCAGTCTATAGGGTCTTATATAAAATAAGGAGGGTGCAATTTTGTTCCTTACCACAGGTGTTAAAAAATCTTGGGCCAGCCATGTTGTTGAGTGGAATTCACATTTGTGAGATCTATTTGATTCAATTTTTTATTAAAACATTGAGTTCTGTCAGGTCAAACTGGGGACAAAATAGTAGCTTGGAGTCAAGAGTTTGAACAATGACTCCAAAAATCTTTAAGAAAATATGGTGACCATGTTAGTATGGGGAGTCTGGGAGCTGTAATCCAAATATTCACTCCCAAACTCTGACCCCATCTATCCTGTCATATAATTACTTTAAAACTGAACTATATGGTCAGAGTAGACTCTTGCAGAGTAGCTCAGTGAAGTTAAACTGCATTATAGGAGACAATACTTGTCATATAATGCAGTGTAGATGTGGACTCTGGAGGAGATTCAAGAACAAAGCTGTATTCTAGTTCAGAGATGCCACCATCTCAACGTTCAACAATTTTTCTTTCCTAATACAGATATAAATGAATGTGAGGTGGGCAACGAATGCCGAGAAGATGAAATATGCTCCAATTATCACGGTGGATATCGCTGCTATCCAAGGAATCCATGTCAAGAGCCTTACGTTCTTGCATCTGAAAAGTAAGGGAAACCGCCAACAGATCCTAACCAAGCCTTGTTGCCAAAATTCAAAAGTGAATGCCTGTTTTGCAAAGGAGGGAATGTGTTTTTCAGTCGCTGTGGTTTGTTTTTCAGTCGCTGTGTTTGCCCAGTGTCCAACACCCTTTGCCGAGACCTGCCATACTCCATTGTACACAAATACATGAGCATCCGCTCCGAGAGAACCGTGCCATCTGATATCTTCCAAATCCAGGCCACCCAGATATTCCCCAATACAATTAACACGTTCCGGATTAAATCCGGAAATGAGAACGGAGACTATTTTCTGAGAGTGAGTACTTCTCGTGTTTTGTTTACCTCTATTTTCTTTATAAGCTTGGTGGAGATCAGGTAGAGCAAATCGTTTTGGGATCACCAGCCTTTTATAGGGGAGGCAGAGTTGGTGGCCACATTTGGAATATTATGCCTTGTGGGATTTTTCACAGAATGGCTATTATGCAATTGAACCATGCGTCATCATGAAACATACAGAAAAACATGTTACATACGGAACATACAAGAGTGTATATACAACCCACTGTGAGCTCTCAGTGGCGCAATGGGTTAAACCCTTGTGCCGACAGGACTGAAGACTGACAGGGTCGCAGGTTCAAATCCGGGGAGAGGCAGATGAGCTCCCTCTATCAGCTCCAGCTCCCCATGTGGGGACATGAGAGAAGCCACTCACAAGGATGGTAAAACATCAAAACATCTGGGCATCCCCTGGGCAATGTCCTTGCAGATGGCCAATTCTCTCACACCAGAAGTGACTTGCAGTTTCTCAAGTCGCTCCTGACACACAGAAAAAATCTACTCCTTTGTCCTGTTCTTACAATGGTCCACCTGTGTTATGCTTGTTACTCTCAAAGAATTTTTTCCCCTAATAGTGTTGATTGGTTCAAGGACGATCCCCCAGGGAACATTTTTTCCCTCGGACTGGTTTGTACAGGCTCCATAAATAAGCTTCCATGTGTAGGTGACTGCTGGGTCCCTTCCATAACCATCTCTTAGGCATGTCTAGAGCAGGCAGGGGTAAACTTGGGCCCTCCAGGTGTTTTGGACTTCAACTCCCACCATTCCTAACAGCCTCAGGCTCCTTCCTTTTCTCTCCCAGCTGCTTAAGTGGCTGAGGGGGGAAAGGAAAGGGCCTGAGGCTGTTAGGAATTGTGGGAACTGAAGTCCAAAACACCTGGAGGGCTCAAGTTTGCCCATGCCTTCTCTAGAGGCCTTTATGGAGAAAAAATATGATAATGGCTAGAAGCCCTTACTTTGCTGGAAGAGACTTGGAATTACTTTTGCACTGTGTATCTATATCTATAAATTTCCTCGTGGCGTCCAACGGAGAAGCAAAACTCTAAAACCCCTCCACAAAACTGGACCAAAATTGCCATGCCCCAAGGACAACCCACTAGGTACAAACTAATCCACTCAGAAATCAAAACCACACAACAACAACCACAAAAAACGGCAAAACAACTGAGCATGCGCACTGGCGCAAACTCCCTGGCGCGCGCACACACATGGCCCCTCACCCTCCCTCCACACTTTCCTCCCTCCCTTCCAGCCGCGCTCTGCTCCCAAGACGGACGGCCCTCCCTCGCCCCGGCCGACACAAACACCTCACCACAGACATGCAGCCAAGCCCCGCACGCTTCTGCCGCCCACACAAACACACACACACACACACATATGCACGACGCATTTTCCACCCGCCCCCTTCCCGCACCGTCAACACCCATTCCACCTCCCCCTCCTCCCTCTTACCCTCCTCATGCCGAGTCCAAGCCCCGCACGCTTCCGCCACCCACACAAACACACGCGCGCCCCCTCACCCCCCGCGCGACACACACCCCCCGCGCGCCCCCCCCCCCCCCCCCCCCCCGCGGCACACACACACACACACGCCCCCTCACTCCCTGTTGGGAAAGCAGCAGCGAGGGCAGCAGCAACGGAGCATCCACGCAACGAAGAAGGGGGGGAGGAGGAAGGTCCATGGTGCTTGAATGAAGGACCTTCCTTCTCTCCCTCCCTCCCCTTCCTTCCTTCCCTTTCCTTTTCTCCCTTCCTTCTCCTTCCTTTCCTTCTTTCCCTCCTTCCCTTCCTTCCTGTCCTCCTTCCTTTCCTTCTTTTCCTCCCTCCCTCCCTTTCCTCCTTCTTTCCCTTGCTTCATTTCCTTCCCTCCCTCCTTCCTTCCTTCTCCTCCCTCCCCTCTTCCTTCCTTCCTGTCCCTCCTTCCTTCTTCCTTTCCTTCTTTTCCTCCCTCCTTTTCCTCCTTTCCCTTTCTTCATTTCCTTCCCCTTCATTTCCTTCCCTCCCTCCTTTCTTCCCCTCCTTCCTTCTCCTTCCTTCCCTTCTTCCCCCCTCCTTTTTTCCTTCCTTCCTGCCCTCCCTTCCTTTCCTCCTTCTTTCCCATTCTTCATTTCCTTCCCCTTATTTCTCTTCCCTCCCTCCCTCCTCCCTCCCTTCCCTTCCTCTCCTTCTTTTCCCTTCCTGTCCCTCCTTCCTTCCTTCTTCCTTTCCTTCCTTCTAAGAGATAAATACAATATTAAATGGAAGGAACAGTCATGAAGTAACGAGAGAAGGAGGGAAAGAGGGAAGGAAGGAAGAAAGGAAGGAAGGAAGGAAGGAAGGAAGGAAGGAGAAAGAAAGAAATAGGGAAGGAAAAAGAGAAGGAATGAAAGATAGGGAAGGAAGGAAGGATGGAGAGGAGGAAGGATGTAACCAAAGAGCAAAGAAAGGGAGGAAAGAAACAGGTAGAGATGGAAGAAAGATGACAGATAGGGAAAGAAAAAGAAGAAAGGAAGGAAAGAGGGAAAGAAGGAGAGAAAGAGGGAAGGTTGGCCACAGCAACGCGTGGCAGGGCACAGCTAGTTTTTTATAAATATATTAACCAATGTAGTAAGTAATTGTTAATATTAATGTGGGTGCAGCTAGAATAATGCATTGGTGGTGTTATTATGTACCTTCAAGCCACCTGTTGATTTTTGTTGACCAAATGAATATTGTAGACCTTTTTGGTCTATGAATATTTAGAAATGTTTTTCCTTTGCTTTCCTTTGAAATATAGCCTACAACACTTGGTATTCCTTGGTGGTCTCCTTTCCAGACTTGCTTAGCTTCTAAGATCAGATGGGATCTGATGCCTTCACTTTTAAACTGCATTTTATGGGTCTACGCTTACATATAATGCAGTTGCAAACTGCATTATTCGGTATTGTAGATCCAGACTGAGTTGTTATTACTGTATTCTGGGGGTTTTAGAGACACGTTATCTAGGAATTCCTCTTTTTTTGGTGGGATTCTCTAGAGATATGATTTTCAAATCAAATCCCTAGATAACTCCACAAAAAATGGAAGAATTTACATAGAAAAAGTTACAATCGCCAACATCTAGAAGTCATATTTCTTAAAGAGCGATGCCTATAACCAAACACTTTGGTGAAAACATTATCTCTTATGTTTCTTCCAGCAAACAAGTCCGGTTAGCGCAATGCTTGTATTGGTCAAGCCATTAAAAGGACCCCGGGAACATATCATCGATTTGGAGTTGGTGACGGTCAACACTATGAACTATCGGTCGAGTTCAGTGCTCAGGTTGACGCTCATTGTGGGACCTCATCCATTTTAGCCACAGCACTTAAGTAATTCCCAAGTACCCAGAGCAGCCAAAGAAATATTCTCTTAAATGAAGCACTTACAACTTTATTTATAGATTTTACATGATGTGTTTTGTTAAAGGAAAAACTTTATTAAGAAAATCAATCTTTGTAGCCATGCTATCGTGCTTATAATTCAAAAGTAGTTATGTTTTCTGAAGTATAACCAGGGCATTTCCACTTTCCATTTAAAGGTTTGCATTTCTCTCTATTCTGGTGATACCAGTATCAATCACCTATTCCCATTTCAATACAATAAGACTGCAATATTCATAGGGGATACATTCCTTTCCTCCAGTTCCAGCTTACCATAGGGTTGTGGTTGGAGGATGTAGATCAGCCATGAAGAGACTTTGGCCCTCTAGATATTTTGGACTTCAGCTCCTACCATTCTTAACAGCTGGTAGACTTTTAGGAATTGTGGGAGTTGAAGTCCAAAACATCTGGAGGGCCAAAGTTTCCAGTGCCTAATCTAGTGATTCCTGGAGAGCTATTGCCTTTAGGAATTTGCTAGGTCCTCCTATGCACATCTATGGTAACATCTAGGGCAGTGGTTCTCAACCTATGGGTCCCCAGATGTTTTGGCCTTCAACTCACAGAGGTCCTAACAGCTGGTAAATGGGCTGGGATTTCTGGGAGTTGTAGGCCAAAACACCTGGGGACTCACAGTTTGAGAACCACTGATCTCAGGGAAGTCTACTATAGAATCACCTGGAGGATCTAACAGGACACAATTTCCGCCTAGGCACCAGCAAATGAACAATGTGGATATAGGTTCTGTGTTTATGGGGGTCTTACTGTAGTTGTGTTTTCACTAGACAAGAAGAATACAGGGTAGGAGAGACCAGGATCAGATTCTCTGTACCTAGTCCAGAATATTCCAAAGTTCAGCAAAAGTTCTGAGCAGAGTCATCAACCCTACATAAAAGGCTCAGTGCACCAGAATCATTCATGATTTCTAATCCCATGAAGCATAATCAAATAAGATCTGTATTAGATTAGAACAAAGGGAGACCACTATTCTGTCCCAAGAGAAGCCAACCAAATTCCCATCTCGATACCCACAAGCAGAATACAAATACATGAAAACGTGTATCCTCAACAATTTGTATTGTGAAATACAAGGCCTCCAACATGACAGCTTCTACCACAGCAACTGATAGTACATTTCTCTATAAATCTATCTAATGTAGTGATCTACAATAGGCACTCCAAGATTGTAGATGTTAAGGTCACAGTACTCCCATAAAAGTGGAAAAAACACTTTTTTTAAAAAAAAAGAGTGTGTTTTTAACCTGAGAAAATACTTCTCTAGGAATGTCTAGGTCCTCCAGTGCAACTATACGATCAACATGTGTGAAACGTTGATCGTAGAATTGCCTTGGGGGACCTAGAGATTCCTAAAGAGATATTATCTGTAGGAATCTCTATGTTCTCCAGTACAATCTGGCAGATATTGACCAGAGTTACCTATGAGAACCTAGAACAGTGGTTCTCAACCTGTGGGTTCCCAGATGTTTTGGCCTTCAACTGCCAAAAATCCTAACCGGCTGGGATTTCTGGGAGTTGTGCCCCAAAACACCTGGGAACCCACAGGTTGAGAACCACTAACTTAGAATATCCTAGAGAGAACTTATTCATCAAATACACAAAAATTAAACCTATAAATGTGGAAGTCCGGACATAATTATCTTTCAGGTCTATTGGAGTATCAACTTCCATCACACTTAGGCATGGTGGGAATTACAGTCCTTCACATCTGACAGATTCTGGCATCATGTCCTATTTACATCTTCAACGAAACACACAGAGATGAAGGATGGAATCTTACTCACTCACTCCCCTCGCAACTTCCACTCAGTGAGAATAATGTGAAGATAAGAACAGAGCTGAACTCTGATGTGATTGTGCAAGGGATGAGCAGAAGACTTGCTTGATGTGCAGTTTCCAAACAGTTTGAACATCTAATAGCTTTAACGTTTGAGCAATTCAAGATGTGTATGGCAGTGTGTTTGTGTGTGTGTGTTTAACAGAGTACCCACAGTTATCCATTGATTGGGGTGTTTGTGGTTTCTGGGCTGTGTGGCCTACAACTCCCAGTGATTCCAGCCATGAAAGCCTTCGACAGCAGCTTCCAACGTGTTGGAATGTTTTTGTCCTCCATATTGGTGAAATTCTGCCTTTTCTTCCCATGGAAAGTCCCCTTGGAATAAGGATGCAAAGAAGTGGGTTGTTGTGAGTTTTCCAGGCTGTATGATCCTGTTCCAGAAGGATTCTCTCCTGATGTTTCGCCTGCACCTATGGTAGGCATCTTCAGAGGTTGTGAGGTCTGTTAGAAATGAGGAAAATGGGGTTTATATTTCTGTGGAAGGTCCAGGGTGGGAGAAAGAATTCTTGTCTGTTTGAGGTAGGTGTGAATGTTGCAATTGGCCACCTTGATTAGCATTTAATGGCCTAGCAGTTTCAAGGTCTGACTTCTTACTGCCTGGGGAAATCCTTTGTTGGGATGCAAATAAGGTTCTTCTCACAAGGAAGGATCTCCTGAAAAATTCTCAACTTCTATGAGATCTTTTCCTCATGCATGTAAAAAAAAACAAGTGACTTTTTATCATTAAGAGAAATAGCAAAAAAAATTACAAAAAATAAAATGTGTTTCATGCACCAATGTTACATTTTTAATGCAAGAAATATGCAAATTTTTCAGAAAACGTCCCGGAACATGTGCAAAAGTGTCTGTAAATATTGGTTGAGTGGCAAGAAGGTTTTCCACAATTTTCAGTCTCAGATATGAGTCTCACAATGAGCAATGTCTCCTTTTATAAGGAACCTTGCAATACAAAATATATACATACGATCTTTCTCTCCACAAACAGTGCCTGTCTCAATGAAGGGCATTTTGCTAGCAATAAAGTATATCCCTTTGTTGTTGTTGTTGTTGTTGTCCTTTTTTTAGTAAGTACTTTATAAGGATGGATGCAATGCGGTTTTGAGAAGAATGCATTCATTAGCTACGTTATTTCTTCTTGCATTGCATTTTCTGAGAAGTAATACTTAGGATTAATGAGCATCATAAAGAGAAAACGTTTTGCACAGGGCGTTTCTTGAGGTCCAGATCTTTTCTCCTTAAACATACCACTCATCAACATTTTATCTTTTCCGAGAAAAATGGGACACAAGGAGAAAACTTTGCCAACAATGAGTGAAGCTCCCAGTGGGAAAGAAAACCTCATTTGGAGAAATATTTCTGTATGAGTTTGTTGCGGAGAACAGTCTTACTAATGCCTGAGCAAAGGCGGGGGTAAATATATGTTAGCATACTGAGATTCCCAGATCTAAATAACAGCTGCTTGTAAGTTGTTCTTCTTTTTCAAAAATAATAATAATAATCACTTTTGGCTTAGATGTGAGTATTTTCAAAATTTGGGATCCAAGAGTTGCCTTCTTTGTGTTAAGCTTTCTACAATACGGCATTGACTTACTCATCCTATATATCTGTCCTGTAGCTCAGAGCTCTGAGTCTAAATGTACAGTGTTCATTAAAGAAAAAAGAAATGGGTAGGACTCAGGCCAGAACGAAAGGCATTCTTTTGTAATATGTATAACGTGTTTCGTATCTAAAATCATAATGGATAACTCTTTGGTGTACAATTTTTTAAAAAATATATATAAATAAATGAATATACCTGTTTTAGTGGACTTGTTTGGTCTTGCGAGTTATTTTAAGTGGACAGCTCAAAGGCGCCAGATGGTATGCCTCAACATGCATTGCACAGAAACACATGCATTTACACCAACGGTGCCCATCTAACCATAACTCAAAGACAGAACATGTAACTGTTGTTCTTGTTTATTCATTCAGTTGCTTCCGACTCTTTGTGATCTCATGGACCACTCCACCCCAGAATTCCCTGTCGCCCGTCACCACCCCCAGCTCCTTCAGAGTCAAGCCAGTCACTTCAAGGATACCATCCATCCATCTTGCTCTTGGTCGGCCCCTCTTCCTTTTTCCTTCCATTTTCTCCAGTATCATTGTCTTCTCTAAGCTTTCCTTTCTTCTCATGATGTGGCCAAAGTCCTTTGCCTCTAATATCCTTCCCTCCAATGAAGTATAAATACTGTAAATAAATAAATACTGTAAATAAATACATAAATAAAGTATGGCTTGGCCTTGAAGGAGCTGGAGATGGTGAGGGCCGGTAGGGAGCTCTGGCGTGGGCTGGTCCACGAAGAGTCGGAAGCGACTGAGTGAACAACAGGAAGACATGGACTGGTTGGATCTCCTTGCAGTCCAAGGCACTCCGAATTTTCTTCCAATACCACAGTTCAAAAGCTTCTATCTTCCTTTGCTCAGTCTTCCTTATTGTCAAGCTCTCACATCCGTAGGTTGAATACCATTGCTTTAATTATGTGGATCTTTATTGCCAGTGTGATGTCTCTACTCTTCACTATTTTATCGAGATTGGTCATTGCTCTCCTCCCAAGAAGTAAGTGTCTTCTGGTTTCCTGGCTGCAGTCTGCATCTGCACTAATCTTTGCGCCTAGAAATACAAAATCTGTCACTGCCTCCATGTTTTCTCCCTCTAATTGCCAGTTATCAATCAGTCTTGTTGCCATAATCTTGGTTTTTTTATGTTTAACTGCAACCCAGCTTTTGCGGTTTCTTCTTTCACCTTGATTAGAAGGCTTCTCAGCTCCTTCTCACTTTCAGCCATCAAAGTGGTGTTATCTGCATATCTAATGTTAATGTTTCTTCCAGCAATTTTAACCCCAGCCTTGCATTCATCAAGCCCCGCACATCAAATGATGTGTTCTGCATACAAGTTGAATAGGTTGGGTGAGAGTATACAACCCTGCCGCATGCCTTTCCCAATCTTGAACCAGTCTGTTGTTCCGTGGTCAGTTCTTACTGTTGCTACTTGGTCCTTATACAGATTCCTCAGGAGAGAGACAAGGTGGCTTGGTATCCCCATCCCACCAAGAACTTGCCACAATTTATTACAATCCACACAGTCAAAGGCTTTAGAATAGTCAATAAAACAGAAATAGATGTTTTTTCTGAAATTCCCTGCCTTTCTCCATTATCCAGCAGATATTGGCAATCTGGTCTCTCATTCCTCTGCCTTTTCTAAACCCAGCTTGTACATCTGGCAACTCTCACTCCATGTATTGCTGAACATGTAATCTATATAAATAAAAATGTAATGTTAGTTTGTGGGATTAACATAACTCAAAAACCACTGTGCGAATTGACACCAAATTTGGACACAAGACACCTCTCAGGCCAACGAGTGACCATCACTCATAAAAACACTGAAAAACACAGCGGAGGGGACTTAAAAAGCCAAACACATAAAAAATACATTACAACCATGTGCAAAACCACATATATACACAAATATATACACACACATATATACACAAACAAAACACATATACACAGACTGGGTCACAGTCACACGAGGCAGGGAACGGCTAGTAGTTCAAATAAAAATTTTGAAATACATAACATTAACCTGCACAAACACAATGTAGATGTGAGTCTTATACCAGTCAGTGTGTTGTCCAGCTAACCCAGTACTATCTGCTTTGTTTATCCAGGGAGAGAGCTTTCCTAGCAATCTTTTATTTCATTCTTTTTCTTTGGTTCCCAACCTTTCATCTTCCAGGTGTTTGGGACTTGAACGCCCAGAAGCCCTTACCATTTTGGCCAACTGTCAGGAATTCACTTAAAATCAGAGATGGAAGAGGCCCCAAGGGCCATCCAATCCAACCCCATTCTGCCACAGAAGAACACAGGCTAAAAACACCCTCAACAGATAACCATCCAAACCTTCAAACAAGAACAAAACCAGAGGGTGCTCACCAATGGATCCTCTTCATCCTGGAAAGAAGTGGCAAGTGGAGTGCCATAAGCAGGGTTCTGTCTTGAGCATGGTTCTGTTCAACATCTTTATTAATGACTTAGGTCAGTGGTTCTCAACCTGTGGATCCTCAGAATTTTTGGCCTACAACTTCCAGAAATTCCAGCTGTTAGGATTTCTGGGAGTTGAAGGCCAAAACATCTGGGGACCCACAGGTTGAGAACCATGGATGTAGATGAAGGGTTAGAAGGCATGATCATCAAGTTTGCAGACAACACCA